CACTTGCAGTTTTGGTGGCTTTCTTTGTCCTCCCTTGGTTCTCGATTGCCGTTATGCACCTCGACTTCACCCTCCATACTCTAAAGTGGCATAAATTCAAATTTCAGATGACCCCCGACGTATTGATTCGGCCAAGTCTTGCCTACCAGTGTTTGCATTTTAATATCGAGAGCAAGGATTCCACAAAAGTGTATAGGGGTATAATCTGCTCCTGTGCCACCAGGTTGCCCTGTTCTATTTAGGAATTTGGTCGCACGGAGAAAAAAACCAACACCACACGGACACTATAGTAGGGAATCCAAACTATCGGGGTGTCAAAGCTATGGTCTTGGTCCATTGCCGAGCTAAACTAGCTAGTCAGGCTATTCGATAAAGAGCTATTCCGTGTGGTGATCTCTCTCTCTTTCTCTCACTCACTATCGAGCTGTCGACATCAAGGCGGCTTTACAGATGTACCATGGCAGGGGGTAAAGGATCCGTCGACAGGGCACCGATTCCAGACTGGTCAGCGCACGAGCACGATCGGCGGTGATCCCTGCAGCTCGACAGGGATCTATCTCAAATACTTCCCGTGTTGATGATTGGTGGGCACCACTGGTTCCCCTCCCCCTGGGTGATACGTCACATCTCCAGGCTTCTAACCCTATGCAATTGCTTGCCGATGACAACCTGTATGGATATTCGAAGTATAGAGAGAGGGGTGAAATCGCTAGTGGGCCAGTTGGCGATGCTCAATTCTCATGGCACTTCGTTGCGACGGCTGGATTGCTAAATGGACCTGGGATTTGTGTTGATCTTTTACTTTTTCTTGCGCTTCCGAGTGAATGTTGCAGTGCATTCCAGGAGGGCGGGTTCGTCTTACAACGGCTTTGTGGCCCAGAGGTATGGAAACCCGATCGGTCCACACGAGGCGATCTCGCATGGTCCTGGTCACAATTACATACGACTACAGTACTGGTGTACCCCAGTTCCCGTTGATGTTTCCTTGGCCCCCCTCCCTTCCAGTCGTGTTTTGTACTCGATGTCGTCTCGGTCTGTTCCACGGTTTTTCATCTTCCTTGTTGATGCTTTCCCCACAAACGACGAAACAGGATAGATTAAGAAGAAAAACAAAGGGGGAAGGGGGCCATGTTTCAAATACGATGGCAAAAATAGTACAGCCCTAACACTCAGCTCCACCGCTTCGGCGGGGATGTTTTTTCATGGTTGCTAGAATACGCCTCCGTACTTGTAAAGGCTGGACCACGCTCTACCCGTTTAAGTAAACGAAGAGAACTATGTGGAGGGTACTCCGTACATGGTAGTGTATAGCTGAGTGATGGCCGTCTGGAATAGATTAAATCGTCAAGATTACCCCCAGAGAGCCTGTCGATACCCGCCCTACGATCCCTGCCAGAGCAGGAGCAATTCCAAATACTTGAACCAATTAGGATGGGTGGAAGAGGTTCGTCACGGTGGGTCATCGGTAGCGTGGGTTCATAGGAGAAGGAGGGGAAGGGGCAAATACTGTCCAAACTGACAGGCCTCTTGTATAGTGTGGTACGGCATACGCGATACACTTACATACTGTACAGGGTATAATACGGTATGCCCGTCTTTTGAATGCTATATGTATTAAGCATACTTAACGGCTCAAGCTACGGGAGTAAGAAACAAGTTGAATGTCTATATTGAGCTTCAGAATTACAAGGCAATTGGTCGTGGTTAAGGCCATATACAATTTCAATGGTTGTACATATGTACCATCCATACATAAATGGTCCGTACGTCTACCAGTCAGGTAATGGTAAAGCGTTCAGTTCAAGCCCAGTCGTTTGTATATAAAACCAAACCACGGCCCAAAAAACTCAAACAGTCGAGGGAGAAAAGGTGTGGCTTACGATTGTCTTTTTCTTGCTGTCGTTTCAACGGTTTCCATCAAAGTGGAGATGGCCTTGATGCGAGCGTCCCAAAAGGGTAATCCCATTGGAGAATAGCCGATCTCTTCTAGCCCCAATTCCGATTGAAATGGATCTATCAGGCCCATGGACCATGGACCACTCAACCAAGAGGGGGCCTAGACAAGTTGTGAGCGGGTGCACATGAACGCATAGTTAGCCATAGCTTCGTCCAGTGCCTATAGAGGGGAAGATAGGAGGGGCCCATCAGCATGACTCGTAAAGTAGGAGCGTTGGTGCGGGAAGAGGGACGGGACATAGATTGGTTCCCAGGGGTTGGTCCCGACAGCTCATTGCACGCAGCGTGCAGCTGGGCGAGAGCGACGATCGCCCCCATCGCGACTTGAAACTACGGCTATTGTTGGTCCGATCATGGAGATTCTTATTTTTCTTTAGTTGTTTTTTGGATCCTTTTTTTTTTTTTTTTTTTTTTTTTTTTTTTCCCCTTCTCTCCTCCAACAAAGCTATATCACGTCACGACCGGAGATCGCCTCAAACCGCGCCGTGACAGGTGGCAGCTGGTCCATGCACCCAGTCTCCGACCCTCTGTGCTGGTTCTGTGCGTAGAAACTAAGCTACGAATCGAGTAAGAATGAATCACGGCGTTGCTCGGGCTACATCAGCGAAAGCCCCCAATCCCTGCAGGCGCCGACTATCGTATTCGAGATTAAAATCTTCATATAAAATTCAATAGTAGAAGGGGCCAAACCAGTGGATAACGGCAGAGGGGACGCTGTCACGGCAATCACGTTGCTTCATGACTTGATTGGAGAATAGAGAACGGGGTCCAGGAGCTGCAAGGCACGACAGAAAATGAGAGAAGGGGGTGGTGGATGTACATTTTGCACACCGTACATAGTGTAGAAAGCGTGTATGTACAAGTACGGGCTCGGTTTCCTGGGAAGGGCGAGAGACGTGCACCGCCCGTTGATCCACATTCCCGTCAGGCACAATAAACGTCGGACTCGGACATGCTCGGGGAGGAGCCAGAGCAACTGACAGACTTCAATAAACGCCAAAGATGGAGATAGATTGGATCGATCTCCAATTTTTTTTTTCCAGCTCAACCAGGGAGCACGGAGTTTGCCGTTGAACCCAGCAAGCCACGCAAGGTGGAGCTCAAACCCACGCCAGCGCCAGCAGCAGCTAGTGACGGCGGGTTACGCAGTGGCACAGACATGCTACACCCTCAGCGCTATTCATACTAGAACCCCAAGGAGGAAAGGAGGGGAGGCTTTCCCCATATTCCAATGGCCTTCTTCAAGCCTAAGTTGTAGGGAATTTGTCGCGATCCGATCTCCACCGGGAGATGATCCACTAGTGTGGATTCAACCGGGCAGCACCTCGTTGAGCTCGAGAGGAGCCGCCGATGGAGCCAATTAGGTCCGTGAATGCTCGATTGGACCTTGATCGGTTTTGATCGGGAGCCGTGTCGTGCATGGCTGGCTGAGTGACTGGGGAAAATCTTGACCCTCCTGGCGCCTCTCGCTTGTCACAGTCGGAAGCGGAGATCTGCCCCCCCCCCACCCCTTCTTCCAAACTAGCCAGGGGGTAAGGAAAGGTTGGCTAGATTATCACTTGTCAGGGGGTGAATACTCCGGACGGCAGTTTCCTAGCAGTTTGGTAGGAAGCGAATCGAGCTCTCTGACGGAGTACAGGTTGAGAGCATTGTTGCGCTTGGACGAGGTTCTTTCTGTTTTCCCCTGATCTACGAGAAGGCGCTCTTAGTCCCCGACGGAGTATGTGCACTATGGAAGATATCCGAGGGAGACGTGCTTGATCCCGTATGAAGTACAGATACGAAGTACCATGTAGTATTGTCCTAGTAGTACACATGTACATATATGTTATACTTTTCTGTATGAATAACCCGACCACGATCCTGCTCCCTTCTTCTCCAGTGCCGTTCGGCATTCTGACTGCCAATACGGGGTTGACTTTTTAAGATCTTCATCCAGACCTAGACAGGTGCATTTGCATTTGCATTCTTTCGCTTATCTCTTGCTTCTGGTCCTCGTTGCTGTCTCCTGCATCTCGCAGTGCACCCGCACCCGAACCAGCGCTTTGGGTCCCCACGATCAGAAGGATTAGAATGTCCCGCACTGGCCGATGGACAACTGTCAGGGCGAAGTATAGGGAATGATGATATTCTAGTCTATATTTTAATATATTTTAGCTCCGTCTTTACCTTAAAATTCTAAAATAATCTCGATAATTCAGATTCAAGTATAGTGATCTATTTGGGAGGAATAATTAATTAATGTTGACCGGGGGGCGCTCAGACGATATTTCTTTTTTTTTTTTTTTTTTTTTTTTTTT